TGTTAAATATAGATAAAAGAAAGAGCATGAGTTAATCTTCATAGGCTAAAATAGGTTTATATAACCACTAATTACTTTGAATTCTGTAATAATTTTATTCACGGAAGAATACATAAAACTAAATTTTAATACTGGTTAGCATATATATATAGGACTCTCATAAATTATGGTAGATAAGGAAACCCTCAAACAGGCATATTTTTCTTTGCTTTACAATGTACTGTAAATTCAGGAATTATTGCGAGGTTTTTTATTAGTGCTAATAATGTAACTGAATGTCTCGTATCGCAATGATAATTAAGAACTCGCATTCTGATATCTGATACATATAACTGTATGCAGATTTTCCTGAAATCACAATTATTAATATCCAATATTAGTCGATTCTTCAAAATTCACTATAATAACTGCACGTAATAATTTCTAAATTAACAGTAAATAAAAGAGACTGCACTATTTGACTTAAGAAATATAGTAGCTTTCTATATGAGATTAATTTATACATATTTTACTTAAAATAGTTGGAATTTTCAAGTAAACCTGACTGTTGAAATAAGTAAACAAAAGAGGTATAGCTTCATCACATTTTTTGACAGGATAAAAATTCCGTCACTTGAAACAGACAGATTTACATTACCCCCCTTTAATTGGTACTCTAAATATTTCACTGTTTATACAAACAGATTATTTCTTACTGTTTAATGATACTTAGAAAGTTCTTGAGTACCTTGTCCAATTTTAAATAGAAATGACATGTGATCATCATGAACTTCAATAAACTTATGGTTAGCCTGGCATCCTGACCCAATCTAATACTTTGTTGATAGGGCAAGGTGTAATACAATCCACGTGACCAACTATCAGCGCTGAACTGGACTGAATTACTGCGCATGTGCGTGTTTCATAAATAAGGAATATACTCGATCGGATTGTTAATTAACTGTTGAATCACAATGTTTATCAATAACGTTTGGATTAAACTTGCTAAATTTTTTCAAAATTTGCATTTCATATCAAAATTAAAAATAATTTTCAATAAATTTGTGGCAATATAAATATTTCCAGCCATGTGTCAAGAAATGACGCTATCCCACGATGCATCATTCTAACATCCAACTGACGAAACCATGTTATTGTATTCCACCTAGCTCTACTGTCGAGCAGTGAGCCAGGATACCAGGCTAACTTATGGTGTGGGTAATTCAACCTTGCTTTTATTAGGTGTTGAGAAAGGGCTAATTTTATGTGTAGGAATGGCCTTAATTAGCATCTAAGTGGGGTACATGATGATCAATCATTATTACTCTGTGTATTATTTTGTGGACTGATGTTTTTTTCTGCTTTTGTTTGCCACAGGGTTCTTTCTAGGGCTTCGAGTGCTTCTTGTTGTTGTCATGCTATGATTTTCCTTCTGAAACTAAATATCATGATTGTCGGTCGACTCTTTAGAATTTTTTACTTTTATTAATTTTTTTTTATAGAAAGATGGGACTATTATGTTAGTATAATAGTCCCAGTAGAAAGAATGGATTAATTGTTATAGAATAATTTGATAACGAAGAACATTATTTTTCACAGCTGATATGCCCGATGAGTCACAAATTTCCGACACACAATGTTATTTTTTTCTTACTTTGCTCATTAAGTTAGAAATGAAAAAAAAATTAGTTCAATATTTTTTAGGATAAATGAATCTTTTACTGATGATGTAGAGTGAACTTGTTTTACTTTCAATCCAGGTGAAATAGATAAGCTTTAAGTATCTTCTATTTCTCCATCATTCTTAACATGCATGAAATATTTGCCACTGGATGTTATTAGCAACCAACAATCAATCAATCTATTTCTCCAAGTTCAAATGCAGCAGAAAATAAAATCGGGGAAATATTTTTTTTCTGTCTATACAGCTTTGATCTGGCACATGCTCCACACCTACTGATAAACTTCATAAATAATATATATCTATCATGTCTCTAATCGATAAACACCTCAAACTGATTATCTAAACCTGGTGAAGTTTCACTAGTACCTATAACCACCAACCTTCAAAGACATTTTTTCTTGTAAAAATATTGATATCATATATATACCTGATAGATTAAAATGCCAAGAAAACAAAGAAAAGATGATCTCTGGTTTTAGTTGGCTGGCGGAATCTAATGACAGAAATTCTTTCCATATTTTTCTTTTGATCAGCCAGACAGTTATGAAAGACATATTTTGCCTGCTATTTTGTTTTTATCTTATTGTTTGACAAACTCTTTCTATCTTCTATTTTTTTCCCTCTGAAAAGCATATATACAGTTAATTGTGGATATCTTTTATCTTTTCTCAGTTGATGAACATATAAACTTTTAAGAGTGTCACTGCAAAATGCAAAGTAAAAGTTCCATGAAAAAACTAGTGAATATGTGAAATAAAACAAATTAATCAGTATTTTAATTAAGGCCCTATCAGCTATAAATACACATATAATTATCCTTCCTGAAAGAGACTTAGTGACTTAATATGTACACTGGTGAAGCTGTATTAACTGTTAAACATCTTTTAGTAAAGAAATCTTATACACTCACTGTACTCAATTTTCTCTCAGTTGTGCTACTTTGAATTAGATATTACTTATGGACTACCAATTCTGTGGTTATAGGTAAACCACAAAGTTAAAAGTTCAACAATTCTGACCCCCTATGGACCATAGAGGGTGAGTAAAATTCATAGGAGATCTCTATGGATTTTACTAACCCTCTATAGATCTGTAGGGGGTCAGTAGCTAACCATATAATTTATAAAGGGATCTGAAAATAATGGCCAAATCCATTAAATTTGATAATTCCCTCCATAAAATTTACTTGCTCTTTATACATGTATACAGTGCAATCAAATGAAATAAACTGGTCTAGCTAGCAGGTTGAATTTGGCTTGCCCTTCATAGTTACATGCTAGCTTCATGCCAGTCAGAGACCTCTTATATCCACAGCTTATACTTTGTTGTCTCACAATGATTCCTTTCATACCAGAAACACGTTTTTTTTTTCAAATTAAGTCACATTGTGCGGACTGCAAATATCATGTACATTGTATTTTAAAAGTTTGTTTTAATATTTGTCTCTCAAATGTCAATAAATTACCATGATATTGCTGAAAAACACAACTTCTAAGAATTACAGTTCTGCTGATGATTGATGTATTCTTTTGTCACTGACAATTAGTTATAGTGACATAGATTCTCATTGGTGTTGTTCCAATGACAACTTCAAAAGGCCATTAATCATTGCTTTCTGGCCTGAAGTGTTTGCAAATATCAGGTTCAATGACATTGATTTCCCCAATACAGCTGACGAACATTAACACTGAACAATATAATACTAGAATTGTTAGTAAAGGGAATAAACCATGTTTTAAGGGGAACACTGTTAAGCCGTGTATTTGCATTAATTTTATAGATTTCCAGTGAAAAATCATCAAAAGCCTCAATATCAAAGACTCTTTGTTGTATGTAACAAAGCTAAATACTTAGCTTAGATCAAGGCTTAAATTTCATCTTTGTATTAGTTTAAGAGTTTTTTGGTGTTGTGACATGCATGTCAGTATGAATTAGATTCAAATGTATTACCAGAACATGAGCTTCAGAAGGGTTTTTTGGGGTTGGATGTTTTTTGGACTTTCAAATATATATATGGCTTTGATGTTGATGTTTCCCATGAATGTTTTATGCATTTAACTTCCTAACTTTTTGGTTCCATAACTTCTTGATCATGTTGATGAAATTTCTAAAATGTGTAAAGCATACTGAAAGGAAATTCTCTTAACATTTTTAAATTGATTTTAATTCAATTTAAATTGATTTTAAGTTTTCTTTCTGCAAATGCATGAAGCGAGAAATGCTAAGTTGAAAGTGAAGACTCTGTATGATATAACATTCGTGGATTGTTTGAGAGATAATTGATGAAGCAATGACATCTCCATAAGATAATTGTTCACAGCATGTCTTTAGTAGATTATATCATCAGAGCTGGCAGTTAATTAGGATTGCTTAAGAAGTTGTTAATAATTGATTTGTAATGAAGATGTTTCAAACCAGTAGTAATGAAGTCATCCTCCTAGTTTGAATATTTTATTTCCCACCTGCCTCGACAGGATACATTTGCGGATTTACATGGAGCCCTGGGACACTCAGTGTGCGCCCTCCCCCTAAAGCAGAAAAAAGATGTGAAAAAAGTCAATTTACAGTCAATTTTGTGTGAAAACATTGTCCTCTAATTCCTTGGTAAATGGTTTTGGTTTTCAAGAGACAATGTAAATCTAGGACTTGTCATCTCTTCTTAAATTTCAAACCAGTTTTAAACAAATATCCATACATGTTCACAATGCTAATTATATCCATTACTTTGAGAGTATTATGTGATGAAATCCAGGTCTGGGGTACAAATTATGTACAACTCCATGAAAATTGCTTGAGAGAATAGACTATTTTCATGTTACCGACTTTTGACTCCGGATTATATAATTTTTCGACAGGTTACCTTTTCTGTGGTAATTAAGACATCATGGTACTCGGTCAAGTAAGAGCAACCAAAATAAGTAAAATCAAGCATATAATCGGTGTAATTTGAGGGGGAAAGTTTCCGGTTTTCTGATGATTTTGTCGTGTAAAGAAAATATGAAGCAGTTAATTTTCCCCAAAAATTGTACCGATAGAAAGCTTGATTTTACTTCTTTACCTTGCTCTTACTTGACTTGGTACCAGGATGTCCTACCACAGAGTAGGTAACCTGTTGAAAAAATATAAACTTCGGAGTCAAAAGTCGGTAAAATGAAAATAGTCTAATCAACCGAACATACACAGATTCTTCTACATAACATGAAATTGTACACCTGTTTTATTTTTTAATGAGTGATGTTTGGGGAAATGGCAGACGACACTTATCTTCCTTGGATGATTCACACATTTCATCACTGTGAAAATAGTAAATCATATTGATATTTATTTTTATTTACAGATATGATTATAAGAAGTTATTATACAATGCTACTTTCTGTTTGGTGCCGAGAGGAAGAAGACTTGGATCATTTAGGTAACCATTGTCTTATACATGATCACATTACATGTGACAATACATGTAGTTTACATGTACGTTAGTTTTCTCAATTGAATTGTTTCATAGTTTTCATGTAGGGGCTTGTATATTGTCGACCATCCAGTATGGGTTTTTCTCATTGTTGAAAGCCATATGGTTGCCTTTAATTGCATACATCCACTTCATTAGAACTTTGGTGGATAGTTGTCTCATTGGCAATCATACCACATCTCCTTATTTTTATAATGTAGTTTTAAAACAAGTTTAAGCAATTTACATATAATCAAGCAAAACAAATTATAAAAAAAGACCAAAAAAACAATATACAGGCAGTTGAGATCTCAAAAAACATGTTCAACCCGCCGCATTTTTGCGCCTGTCCCAAGTCAGGAGCCTCTGGCCTTTGTTAGTCTTGTATCATTTTTAATTTTAGTTTCTTGTGTATAATTTGGAGTTTAGTATGACGTCCATTGTCACTGAACTAGTATACATATTTGTTTAGGGGCCAGCTGAAGGACGCCTCCGGGTGTGGGAGTTTCTCGCTGCATTGAAGACCCATTGGTGGCCTTCGGCTGGTGTCTGCTCTATGGTCAGGTTGTTGTCTCTTTGATACATTCCCCATTTCCATTCTCAATTTTATTGTTTTCTAATGAAATTCTAGAACTTACTACATGTTATTAATACCAGTTTTGTACTTTGATATAATGTACGCCTCAAGTGTGGGAGGTTGTGGGTTCAAACCTGGGCTGGGTCAAACCAAAGACTTGAAAATTGGTATTTGCTGCTTTTCCTCTAAACACACTTTATTTAAGAGTAAGAGCAAAGACTAACCCAAGTTTTTTGGAACGAGAACATTTTTAAACAAGTAAACTAGCAACAAATTTCAACTTTGATAAAATAAAAAGACTTCCAAAGAAAGTGCTTGTGCTTAATTGATTTCAAAGGGAGCACAAATGTACCCCTAACAACCCCCTGTGTACAGGCCTTTAAATGTTTACAGTCTAGGGCAAGAACCAAGCTATCAGCAAATAGTATATATATATATAAACAATTGACTGGTATTTTTCAGATTTTTAGAAGCCCTGCAGGCAGGGTGTATTCCTGTGTTACTTAGCAATGGGTGGGAGCTACCCTTCTCTGAAGTCATTGACTGGAGCAAGGCTGCGGTGTGGGGTGATGAGAGACTATTGTTTCAGGTAGGTTAATCAAACATTTCACGAATATTGAATGCAGGCTCGAACTCAGACGGGGGCACACCTAGCGTGATCCCCCTCCTCCTATTAAAATTTATAGGTAAAATTACAGTCAATTTTTGTCAAAATATTGTCCTATAATTCCTTATTCTCAGTAGCTTTAAATACTCTGATTTCTGTATTGGTTGGAGATTGAGGATTTGAATTTTATGGTAGGAATTTATTGTGAAAGGTTTGGTTTTGTTTGAAAGGAAAATATTTAATCTGTTCTTTTGTAAATAAAATCATCTTTGGTCAGAATAAGTATAAAGATAACTGCTCAGTTGTCAAGTTTTAATGCAGACTGACAGTTTAAAAGGAGTCAAAAAGTGAAATCAGAGGTAAAATGTCTCTGTATCTTGGTAAAACTGCATGCTTCTGTTTGACTGATCCTTAAACATTTCTGAGTACTTGTCTAAATATTACGTCACCATCGCGAAGTAGATATAATTCAATTTGTGTATAGACAATAGGATTAAGCCAATTTCTTCACTTAATTCCCTTCAGATCTTATATAACCCTGTAATTGTAATGTCTGTGAGGTTATCGGTGTGTAAACCAGGCATGTATTATGTTCACGACTTGAAACACGACTTGAAACACGTCCCAGTAAAGGTATTTAGTTTAGCTGGCGATGATAAATCATTGTGTTCATATATTCTGAGCAATACTAAATGTCAGGTCCCTGTACTTGAATCAATGTTCTTGATTATAAATGCTGGAACATTATGATTTTGCTGTCTAATAAAAATGTACTTGGTTGTGTTCAAATTTTATTTTAAAATTTGTCAATTACATCTATAAATGTATTTAAAAAAAAAACCAACATATGAGTCAATGCCTTGCTCATTAAAAAAGATGCTGGTAGTAATCACATCAAGTATGACAAGAGATTAATTGTTCATTCAATAACTTATATGAATGCCTCCAGAACATATATACCTGAAATAGCTTTTAATTAAGCATGTTGGTGTGTGAACAGGTGTTTGACTTATGATTGGCTAAACATCCATGGGACATCACTTCAAAGGTTAGACTTGCTACATGTCCCTTCCTAATTTTCTTTTTTTTTCCAATTTTGTCCCTTTAACAATTTTACTGCTATAACTAAGAGATTACCATTATACTGATATCTGCAGAGGAAGGCCTTTCTCCAAGGGCAATCAGTATACTGGCAGTTTTCAGTAAAAATATAAATTAGTAAGAAAGGAATTGTAGCAAGTCTACTCAAACATGTCAAAGGTGTCTGGGATTTATAAATTTAAGGTTACCTTGATCTCTCCCTTCTGTCAGTAAGACCTATATTGAGGGGGTGGCTGTGCAGTTCATATATAATACATGCCTCTGTGTCCAGGTGGAAATTGTTTGTTAAATATGATACCCCATGTTTGGAGAATTATATTTGGGGTGCAGAATATTCTCGCAACCTTATAAATTGATAAATCTTTATTATTTAACACCCAAATTGGTTAAATATTGCAATGAATTTTCAATTCCAGCATTTAAATTTGCTTTTAGGGAATAATTTATATTGTGAACTTGATAATATATATACACTTAACTACCAGGGTTTACAAAGTAGATTTGACACATTCTTGAAAACAAATGCACCTGACTGTATTATAAGGATGGTGGTAGTTTGAAAACTCAAGTTACATAAAGGTTATGACATATTCAGGTGTTCTTTTGAACAGTATACTGTCATTCATAAAAACAGGGAAATATATCACTGACGTGTCAGCTTTAAAAAGATTTGTAGTTTTGAAGGTGTTAAACTTTATTGACAGTTTTTCACAATGAGAGGTAAATGGATGCTTTCAAATAAAAAGTTAAACATTCATCTTCTATTGTTGTAAAAATAGAACGAATCTCAAATAATTCTACCTTCAGTAAAAATCAGGTTAAATAGATGTTAAAATGACTCTCATTAGAAATTTTAAGGAAATTTTCACACATTGAAACCATAAAAACCATATATGTTTAGAAATAAATATTTAAGAAAGATACATAAAATTTGAAATATTCACGCAATTCTTGTTGATAAATATGTGCTATTGTATTTCTATTTAGCATGATAATCACCTATCTGATGACAAAGAATTCAGTTTAAATTGAGACACAATATTGCACAGCTTGAGAGTGTAGATTGAAGTTCAAATTTTTTTCAAATCTTTAAAAAAACGCTGTTTTTGTATGAATCACGAGACAGATTATTTATCTTAATTTGAAAAGTTGTGAATGACACGTGGAATGACAGACAACGAATTGTACTAAATGCACTTTTGGTTGCACACATGTGCATTGAATCTATTAAATTTTTATCTGTTTGGTTCATTGCTTTGCTGGTTCATTCAGGAAATTATTTTCATTGAAAAATTTATAAGAGATCTAATTAACTTTTAAGAAAGATGTTATGTTTGTTTAAGAGCCTACATTAGTTACAAAATATTGATTGATTTATTGGTGTTTAACGCCACTTTCAACACTATTGTGCTATTTCGTGGCTGTCAGTTTTTATTGGTGGAGGAAGCCGGAGTGCCCGGTGAGAACCACGACCTTTGGTAGGAAAAGTTACAAAATAAAAGTTAGTTACAAAAGGTTTGGAGGGTAATACATGTATGTATGTTGTTATTCTTCCAATATATTTTTTAAAATGTTAATGATTTCATGGTCCCAAATATGAAGTAGCTGGTGAGGCAAAAATGGAGCCAGATATTTGCTACTGGTCAACAAATGAATAATTGACGTCAACAAATCTTCAAATTCAATAGTGTTATCTCAGTTATAATGAAAATGAAACACATACAATTTAAAATAATTTACACAAGGCCTGTGCTTGCATATAAAAATAAGATGTGTTATGATTGCCAATGAGACAACTCTCCACCAGAGACCAAATGACTCAGACAAATTGCAAAGAATTGATCTGATCATAATGAATGTTATACTATTGACAGTGCGCACATGTTGCATAAGAATTAAAATTTTATTTCTTGAATTTAAAAAACCTTATTTTAACCAAGCCCAATTCCAGACCATCAGTCATGAATGGAATTGATTCAATCAAAATGAATACAATATACAGTGTTACATCAGAATTCAAATATTATTTGTTAAATTTAAAAAAGCTTAAGTTATAGCTATTAAAAAGAGGAAACTTATCTATTTTTACGTGAATAATTGTGCATACTCTGCATAATCTTGAGATCTAAATTTATTCTAGATTCTCAGATAACGTCATGTTACAATGTAAGGTTAACCCACCATTAAAGTTACTTTGATCGGAATCAAACAGTACAGATATTCTTTTTAAAATGCAGTTAAATTGTGCAGTCATTACAGAATTAGGTGAGGTGTCTTAGGGGAAAAGTTATTTGATTGCAAAATATGGTTGCATGTATAGTATATATGTTTCAGGCTCTTACTCGCAGAATAGAATAATTTCAGTCCATGAGTCTGTTGTCATAGATTAGGTGTTACCCTTGTAGGGTAGATTTCTTTAATCAACATCCAATAAAAATCCTTAAGGAAAAAACAGTTCTGTAGCCAAGCGACATATATAACATCCAGAAGTACTGTCTAGAGATAAAATACAACACTGAAATGCAAGTGCAACCTGCCACAATGTGAAAATTTATGTTCAGCTCTCTGGGCACTTTCAGCTCAAATCTACGCCCCCCCCCCCCCCTCTAAAATTAAGTAGCCTGGGCTTCTTGGTGCCTTCTTAAATTTTTTTCTGGAAAACCATTGTGACATTTAGGCTACAGATCATCTTGGCTAGGACTGGATCATAACCCTTGGTTAGTGAAGATGGCTACATATAAAAGTGCCTCCTTTTCCTTAGTAAAGTTGATAAACATTTGACTGTTGTGGACCTCTTGATTACAGACATTTACATAATTCTTCTTACAGTAGTAATTCTGTCCTTAAATTTTCTGCTAATTTGAGCAATCTGGTGAGTGTGTAATCAAAGTGTAAAATACAATTTGCTAATGTAAACTTATACCCTGAATTACCAGTAATTGAATAAGATCTAATTTTTGAATGATTTTTATCTTGCTTGTTCAGAGGTTAAATTCAAATTTGTCACTTGGACTTGATCGCTAAGAAAACAGCTTGGCAAATAATATTTCAAGCATTCTTTAAAATATAATCTAACAAAATTATATGTTAAATCTGAGGAATCAAATTTTAACTCAATATGAACAATAAAACACAAATTTATCATTGTGATGTTTAGATAAGGAAAAAAAGGGGCGGTTAAATGTTGACAATTTGGTATGAATGGATTAAAAAATCATTTGGCAATATGACAAAGACATAACTACAGCTTTATGGACCTGAACTAGAGAATTAATTTATCCTTTCAACTTTATGAAAAGTAAAGTTATTTTATTTCATATAGATTTTAAGCAAACATCTAAGGGGTGATTAATGTGTCCTGACCGCAGGGAGGCTATTTCATGAACAGATAACCCTAGCCTATGGAACATTGAATGTTTTGTACCAAAGGACGATATAATACTGAGCATTCAATTCCAAAGACCTTGAATGTTGAAAGTAGCCCTTGTCCAGACATATATCTTCCGAGGATTAAATATAAAATATCATTTGACTTAAATTTGGTAGATACATACATGTAGACATGAATCATAGATACATTTTTGCTTGCGTTATATATTGATCTCAACAACCAGTTGCCGTCTTAATGACCTATAGAACACATATTCTTTTAATGTTTTATTGGCAGAGTAAGAAATCTTCATATATTGTATCCTAAATTGTAATGTTTTTTTTGTCCCATTTTATTTTTATTAGAAAATATCATTGTTTTCCAGAATATAGACAGCTCTGAAAATGTCTTTCAGTTGTTTCAGTGATTAGGTTGCTGTCACAATGAAATATTCCTAACATCTCATTTTATTCATAAAAAATCATAAGTGACATAAAAGGTTCATTATCCC